TCCTGGATCAGTGTGGGAGAGAGACATAAAAACAACAACAAAACAAAACAGACAAAAAAGGCAAGTGGAAACTCACTTATTTCCTGTTTCATTGCTCCCGCTCTGGTCCCACCATGCTATCAGTATGGAGGAGGGGAGGCCAAATAGTGGTGGAGAGGAGAGGGCAATTTAGTGCCAATTGTAACAGGTAGGCGGTGAAAGAAGAAAGCGTAGCTGCCTATAAACATGGGGCTTGCAGGAAGAGAGGCATTCCATCATCAGTAGCAGAGGAGGCAGAGGTAACTGGACCCTCTGGCTACATCTAGATTACATCTCTCTGTTGGCAGAGGGATGTAAATAAAGCACTTCGAAAGTGCAAATGAAGTGGAGATTTAAATATCCCACGCTTCATTTGCATAATCATGTAATGGCGCTCTTTTGAAAAAGCGCTGTTTCAAAATTGAAACCGCAGTCTAGAAGTGGTTCTTTAAAAAATGGGGCAATTTTTGAAAGATTCTGTAAACCTCATGGACTGCGGTTTCAATTTTGAAATAGCACTTTTTCGAAAGAGCGCCATTACGTGATTATGCAAATGAAGTGTGGGATATTTAAATCCCTGCTTCATTTGCACTTTTGAAGTGCTTCATTTACATCCCCCTGCTAGTCTAGACATAGCCTCTGATAGTCAGAGGATAGGTTAGTGCTTTGATGTGCTTCTTGCCACTAGTGATTCTAGTAGGGAGCCAGTTCTCCCTAACCCTTTGTACTACCTTAGGAGGGCCAGGCTGTCATTACCAAGGGGGGGGGGGGGGGGGAGGAAACAAATCTCTGGGAGCATCACCAGTGCAAGGAAACAGATTTAAGGTGCTAACTTGATGCTCAGTCTAACACAGGGTTCATTTTAGTGCATATTCTCTGCGTTTGTTGTGCTGGTCTCTTAAGAATGCCTCTCTCTCATCCTACTGCTGGAATTTGGGCTGGCATCTCAGTCTGGACGCGCCACGGTCGACAAGGGAAGCCTTTGTCGAATGCTCTAGTAAACCTCATTTCACAAGGCATACCGGAGTGGTCGATAAAGGCTTCCCTTGTCGACCGTGGCGCATCCAGACTGACCCGCTGTGTCGCCAAACAGCTGATCGGCACAGCGCGGCAGCCATTTTGATGTAAATGAAGCCGCGATTATTTAAATCGCCGACTCATCTACATGGTTCCATCGATGGAGCCATGTAGCCTAGACATACCCCATGAAACACCTGTTGCTTCTTCCTTAGGATGGATTAGAAGGTAATAATCCAATCCCAAATGGGGCCGGAAATGGGCTTTTTGAGGTTTGGGTCATTGAGTCCAAAATTTACTTCCTGCTTCATTTGCCAAAGTTTGATTTTTTTAATTACTTTTCTGATTTACTGTATCACTTATTGCTTCAAAGGACATTACCGAACTTGCAAGTACTGAACACTGTTCTGAGAGGGGTTGGGGAGGGCTCTTTTTTGACATAAAAATTAGTTATCTAATTTTTAAAAATAAAAATACAAACAAATACCGGTAACTACATACACAAAATTTTTTTTTACATTTCTGGAATTCCTTCAGTGTGGAATGTAAAAGCTGTGATAATTTGTCACATCTACTGAGGTAAATTAAAATAGCATCAGGCTTATCTCTAGTATCTCTAGTAATGATAGCACTTAACTAGTTTGAACCTAGGTTCTGCCACCCAGCCCAACTGTGTCTGCGGGATCCTGCCACAGCTGGGGTAATTTGTAGGAGAGACTTCTTCTATAATGGTAAAGAGTCCCTCAGTGATGAAGTGCTCAGGCTTTAATCTCACAGTGCTTGCCTTTGCCATCAGACAGTATTATACTCAATATACTTTGTGTCAGGATGCTTTAAGGCAACTGAGTGGGGAAGAGGGAGGAACTAGATGACTCTAGGCATAAAAAGACTGGACCAAATCCTCAGGCAGTATAAATGTGCCACATTCTAAGGAGGTGTAGCTGTTTAGGCAAGTGTAAGTAAGGGCTTGTCTACACTTAACACACTACAGTGGCACAGTTGCAGTGGCAGGTGATCTTGTAGGCTTAAGAAATCCACCTCCTCAAGAGGTGCTAGTGAGGTGCATGGAAGAATTCCTCTGTTGACCTAGTGCTATCTACATGAAATTTTAGTTTAGCTTATGTCACTCGATATGTAGATTTTAGCTGTGTAACCTAATATTCTGCGAGGGAACATGATAATAGTTTTCAAGTTTACAAAAGGTTGTTACAAGGAGGAGAGAGAAAAATTGTTCTTCTTAACCTCTGAGTCTAAGGATAGGACAAGAAGCAATGGGCTTAACTTGCAGCAAGGAAGGTCTAGGTTAGATGTTAGGAAAAACTTCCTTACTTTCAAGATGGTTAAGCACTGGAATGCCTTACTTTCAGGATGGTTAAGCAACATAGGGAGGTGGTGGAATCTGCATCATTGGAGGTTTTTTTAAGAGCAGGTTGGACCAGGGGCGGCCCGTGGATGTAGGCAACCTCGGCAGTTGACTAGGGTGCTGCGTTTAACATGGCGCCCAATGATGATGTTACGCCATTGAGGGCTATGAAGGCGGGGGCGCCGATCGCGCATTCCGCCTAGGGTGCCAGTTGCCGGCAGCTGTCCTCAAGCTGCTCCTGGGTTGGACAAATACCTGTGAGGAACTGTCTAGATAATACTTAGTCCTGCCATGAGTGCTGGAGACTGAACTAGATGATTTCTCAAGGTCCCTTCCAGGTCTGTGATTCTATAATCTAGTGTCAATCATCCTTACAGCATTCAAGTGATGCAATAGGTGTACATGGAGACACATGAGCATCCTGTGGTGATGTAAAAGGAGCTTGTGTGCATAGGTGCTTGAAATTCAGAGGGAGCTGCTGCACCCCATGGCTTGAAGTGGTTCCCAAGTTTACAGCTAGGTTCAATGGCTCTTAGCACCCCCTCTATTCCAATTGTTCCATCATCCCTACCCATGTGTTCTTCAGTGGAGGTGGAGCGGCTAGGTCAGAAAAAACTGTACGTCTCTGCAAAAAGCTAAATGCAGCCCACCCCACAGTCATTTAAGTGGGGAAAAGGAAACTCAAGTCAATGGTGTAAGGTAGGGCAGTCCTCCCATGATCTATTAGTTGCTTTGGTACAAATGTAAGTGGAACACATCCAATCAGCCCCTCAAAAAAGACTTAAGTAAAACAATAAGTACTGATGAAGCACCCAGAACACCATAATTACCATGTGTCAAAGATGCTCGACTGAAATTTGCCATCTGGCACAAGGCACCCTTGGCCATACGATAGCAAAAGCTGAAGCCAGGAGATAACCAGTCCCTAAAAGGAAGTGGTTTAAACCACAGTATAATATTTCATAGTCTATCCACTCAGCAGATCACCAGGGAATATGGTGAAAACAGAAGGTTGATGATTCAAGCAGACACAGCTCAAGAAACATCAACTTCTGCACATAACAAATGACATCAGCAGGAGGGCAAATAAATCATAGGTTCCCAAAAGGATGTGGACTTAACACACAAAATCACTGTTATCGGTATGGCATAGCATGAAATTGTAGAGATTTCTCTCCTGCATTCCTGTCTGCCATCATTGCCACCAACCTCTCATTAATGTCATTAGTGCTATAGAACCTGTTGCCTTGGTCACTCTGCTAAGAACAACTGCCTCCACTGTCAATTTTTCTAGCCATATAAATAAAGTTAAGCCACATGGACACATAATGCAATCTGCCTTTGAATAAAAGCAAAATCGTACTTTGATACTTCAGGACACTTACTTCAAATGCTGAAACTCATTTTCCAATACAGAGGCTTGCAGTTGTGCACTTAGACTTATATGCGTATAATTTATGCTCACAGATGTGATGTGTATATGCAAAGTGAGTATTTGTGCATGAACACGGTCAGCTGGGCACCCAACTAAGCATGGAAATGCCCGATGTAGAGACATATATTGGGCATTTACATTCATAATTTAGGCATGTGCCATTCCATGTGTGCAAAAACAGGTGCCTACATTTCAAAATCTGGCCTGCTGTGCTTACTATACACCACTTTTACACACAATTTTCAGGACTGCATTTTCCCCACTGACACTGGTATAGCTTCAAAAGGAACTGAGAAAATGCACATTAAAACTGTAGGAATTGAAATAAATAGAGGTCATGTTGTATCATAATTTGGGGTCAGGAACTTAAGAGTTGATGTCCTCCTAACAAAAAATCAAAGATGCTAGATATGCAAGATAAACCCACTGAAATCAGGGGAGTTACACCAAGGATGAATTTGGTCTCAAAATGCATGTGGTCAAAAAAACATACCCTCTTTTATCCAAGGGAGGTTTTTTTATATATATCTGACAAAAAGCTGGTGTAATCCAGGGTAAAGTGATTAAAATAATTAAGCCTGGAATTTAGTGCAATGCATTGCACTAAACTCATTGCTGCTGTGACTTCATTGAATGTGGCCATCTAGTCTTATTCAATTGTTTTCCAGTTATTAAGTTTCAACTTTTGGGGAGCATTACTCCTTGTAGCATCAAATAGTTTCAAACATAGCCTAAACTGAAGCATCTACACAGCTATATTTAGGTACATAAATAAATGGCCTCATTTTCATGTCCAATCTTCAGCTTCCACTGAAGACAACGGAAATGAACATAATTTAGCACCTGTGAAAATCAGGTCAAACTTATTTAGATGCTTGAATATGGATTTAGGTTTCTAGCTTTGGGAACATATTTTGAAAAAATGTGGCCTTTTAAAAATCATCAGATGATACACAGGTGCTAGCATTAGTTAAATTCAAAATCATAACAGGAACAAATGTACAGTACTGTATACCAAAGACAAGTAAATCAAATACATTCCTGTCTGTGGTATAGAGATTATTCTTCGTCTTTGTTTAATGGTACTGAAAAACTAATTGACTAACTTTAGGTAATCTCCATAAAATAAAGAAAAGATAAATACATTAAAAACAGCAAATATCTTACCATTGGCCCAGGTGGTCCAATTATCCCACGGTCACCCTGACAAAGAGAAAAAATTATATTAGTGATGAAGAGAAACTCTGATGTCTTGCTAGCCTGGTTAGTGATGGAGTGCAAGTCTACCAAGTGTTCCAGAACTTGATGTAGTATTAACCTACCTTCTGTCCTTGTCTTCCTACAAGTTCTCTTAGAGATCCATCAGCAGATATGATAGCTCCCGGTTCTCCTTTTTCTCCCTACAATTCACAGAATCATTTTGTGATGTTTATAAAATAGTTCTAACTAAAATTCTACCTGAACAGACCAGGAAACTGCAAAGATCAATGCAGCAACATTTGTATTAGTTCAAAGTGAAAACAGGCTGGTTAGAGAGGTGGCAACTACACAAGTGTGAGTAGGGTGGAATTCAGTTGTATAGGGAAGCGAGGGCTGTTTCTTTTTCAACCATGGCAAAAACAGCCTGCTCCTAAGAGTCCTGAAAGAGAACCAAAACAATACAACAAGCCTTCACTCATCTACTGCCCCATGCAAAAGAGTAAGAGCATGAAAAACTCAGGAACCATAGACTTCATGCTCCCTTAGGCTGTGAGCTTGGAATAGTGGCAGGGAGCTTGTAAATGGGAAAGCTCAATAGCTCCCTGACTGCCATCAAAGCAGAAGTCTTTTCTTCTAAACATTTGGAGCGTGATGCCATCCTATTACCTTTAGCCAATAAATTTGAGTCACTGAGCAGTGAGATGCTACTACAAGAAGTGCGCCCATTGAATTCAACAGGACGAATCACATGAATAATGGCTGCTCAGTGGGAATATGTAGTTCCCAGTGTGCCCCTAGCCGCTGCTCTCATCCACCCAACCACAGCCAAAACATCCTGAACAACCTGGTCCAACAACCTAGACCTATAACCGCAAAGTGCAGAAATGTGGTCACCAACTACTGTCCCAAGGATCACAATGACTACCTGAATGCTCACCTAAGTGCACTGCTATTCTACTTCATTGTCCCCATCACTTTAGATATCTTGGAATCACTCATACTTAAGTTCCCAAGAAGGTTGGCCTTGGTGCTTTATGACCATCATCTCCTGTTTAGTACAGTGCTATGAGGAATGTAACCCAGGCATCTGTAAGGGGTAAATTTCTCCAAATATTTCTTTAATGGCCCATATTCCCTGAGATCCTTTAGTCGTGTTGATTGAGATCAGCAGCCTTAAAAACAGCTGCCATTCTTGGCTCAGGATCATGAGAAGATCACTGACCCTGTGGTCAAATGCATGCCAGAAGATCAGTATACCATCTTTCATTCACCGGCATGTAATTTAACAGTTAAAGAGTACAAGTTTTGGTCTTGTTTGGAGAATCTATTTCAGACCCTCATTAAACAATAGCAAAACTGTTGCTGACAAGAAAGCAACAAAACAATTCTATAAACGACTTAAAAATGCAAAGGATCAGAAGAGTGGTCTTTTGCTTTCCTTCTCTTACCGTCCCCAAGGCTGCGGTAGCACAGTTGTTCCAGACCACCTGCTTTGCGGGTGGAGTGGAAAAAGTGAAGCTTGGCCCCATTCCTTTCCCAACCATGCCACAATTTGCCCACAATGGGCTTTTGCCATAGGCAGACTCCTGTGTCCCCATGGAGGAGGGACCAAGATTTGTTCTTCTATAATTTACTTGGCCCTTTTGCTGTAATTCCTTTTTCTTTCCTACTTCCCAGGCTGTTGGCATAGACGATCAATTTACATAAAAAGGTCACCTCAAACCCAACATGTTTAATGTTTATGCAGAGTCATTTTGACAATTATGCAAAATGAAATGTAGAGTTTCAGCATCGGTCTCTAAATTAGTCCCCAAGAGAATTTCAAGTTATTTTCTTTAATACTGATGATTTCCACTGAAATCTCCTTTGAAACTTCAGTAGCAACTCCTTAATATCCCTGTGGAAAGCAAAATGAAAACCATAAAAGCAACATAGCAATGCCACCAGATATAAAATGTCTAAAACATTTTTGAGCATATTCATCTCTCTAGCGGGTACGAGATGCTACTCATTCCCTCTTACCCGCTGTCCTTTTGGTCCTTGTAATCCAGTCAGTCCAATGTCACCTTTTGGTCCCTTGGGGCCCTAAAGGAGTAAAAACAAAAGTCTGTTTGTCTCTTTTGTCGGTGGTTTAGTTAAGAGCTTTTCAGATATCAATCGAAAATAAGGAAGTACATTTTGCTTAATTTAATTGCAGATAATTGGAGATCGAAACTTTGAATCGCTGCCATTTTAATTTCCCTTGTAATC